CCTCTTATAAGGGGATAATCCCATTCCTGAGGACTTTACCTTCATGGGATAGTTATTTTAAAGGCCATCCCTCCAAATGCTGTCACACTGGGAATTACACTTCAATGTTTGGGGTACACAAACACAGTATATATAGTATTCCAAGTACTGGGCCAATTGTGTTAGGAAGAAGTGACATGGGACTTAAAAACCACACAGACCCTGGAATTCTGCTCCTAGGGAGTTATAACATGTATACAAGATAGTTTAGAAAATATCAAATGCTAAGCGATTCATTACTGACTATATATACAAAAAGTGTTTCTGGGAAGGGATGACATATAGAGACCACCAGTTAAGGAATTCTTTGGGAGAAGATGAGGTGTGAATTTGGCCTTACATCTCCAGACATGAAAAATGAAAAGAAGTAAAGGATGAAGACAGGTGAAGAAAGCTAACACATGTTTTTGGAAAATGAAGTATCATAAGATAAAGCATAGATAACAGAAGTACTTCCATTTCTTTCATTGATTTCTATGATGTTCAACTATACTAGCCACTAGTTACATGTGACTATTTAAACTTAATTAAGATGGAATAAATTTATACATTCAGTTCCTGGTGGGGAAGGAATGAGACCCTGAGATCCAGGAGGTGGGGGGCTATCTGGATGGATATACTTGAGAATTTTGAACTGACAGTTTATCCTGACACTCTGAACACAAGTAACCTACTACCCCTTGCTAGAAGACAGCGGCTTTCCTTGGCTTGAAGACAATGTAGAAATCTTATCTGAGAAAAAGATGTCTTCCAAGAAGCTTCTAACTCTTTTCAGGATTTAACACAGCCTCCTTCAGTGTTTTTACACCAATAAATAGATTCAATTTTTATCACAGTATGTCTGTGGAAACACTGTCCCTGTTTTGAAATAGGAAGGCTATTCAACATATGTGTACCAGCAGAGTGAGAAATATCTTGAGATGGAGCTTGGTGTAAGTGGTCTAAAGTAAAGAAAGCATAGATCTGTTCAGTGTGAATGCAAATAACCAAGAAAACCACAGAGACTGGATTCATCTGAAATTGATATTTCTTATCACCAGGGAGATTGCATTAAGAAAAATGAAAAAGTTGCATTATTTTGCACACCCAAGGTTGTAGGTTGCCACTAACATGTCTCTTAATTGCTCAATTCCTTCCTTAGGTGAAGCAACAAAAAGCTATGTATTCTGCTGTTGTTAACACTATTAAAATTGCTGTGGTCATTGTTAAAATTGTTAATTGGAGGAAGTCACCAAATGACTAAGTACATATACCAGTAGGTAAATACTTGAGTATATTCATCATCATAGAGTGGGAGCTAAGAGTCTCTACAGTGAGAATATTTCCAAAGGCTAACCATCAACCCTTTGCTGTTAATACAATCTGTCCAAATTGTCTTGTATAATTTTTTAATGTATTATAGCCTTCCAAACTGTCTGAGTATCTTTATTTGCATATACACTGATGTCAGACTATATTCCAAATTATCCTTAATTATCTGAATATTCCTAAATAATTATCTAGTGCTTTATATATTGGAATTCAGTTTTCTTGGCAGGTCCTTTAAGGTTGTTTTTAATCTGTCTCATCTCTAGTTAGCTTGTTTTCCATTCTAACATTGAACCTTAACCCTAGATTAATCTCTCTCAAAAGTGTCCAAACCTATCTTGAATATCTAAGGTTAGATGTTTTTTGAAAGACGGTCTATTCATCTGTGTGACCTGGGAGATGGAAGCTGAATAAACCCTTTCCTCCCCAAGTTGGTAGTGGTCAGAGTGCTTTGTCACAGTAATGAAGAACAAACTAGGACAGAAATTGGTACCAGAGACTGGGATATTTCTGTGACAGACCTGACCTTGGTGTTTTTGGGAGGACTGTGGAAGTGATGTTTTTTGAAAGACGGTCTATTCATCTGTGTGACCTGGGAGATGGAAGCTGAATAAACCCTTTCCTCCCCAAGTTGGTAGTGGTCAGAGTGCTTTGTCACAGTAATGAAGAACAAACTAGGACAGAAATTGGTACCAGAGACTGGGATATTTCTGTGACAGACCTGACCTTGGTGTTTTTGGGAGGACTGTGGAAGTGTTTAGAACTTTGGGCGGAAAAGCCATTGCATGCTCAGAGTTTGTTGCCGTGGAGCTTGGAACAGTTAGGCTGAAAGAGTTGTGGACGATGGAGGCCTGGCTTGTGAAGCTTCAAAGGGAAGCGGGGACTATCAGA